AATGGTTGCTAATCATGGGTTTATAGCCAAAGCAAAAATAGGTAGAATGAATAATCTATTTTTTAAATCAATTTCTAGTTGTTATACATGTGTGCCCCTGGCAGCTAAAATCCAGACACCCTTTGCTCAACTGTGGGAATATGCAGCAGAACTGCAGTGAGACTGTTGAAATGTCTTGGGTTTTTCTTGGCTGATAGGTTAGTGCTCTTGTGGAGAATTGCTTCTATGCACTCTGCTGCTGCTATGACTCTGCAGTAGCAATCTCTAATTTTAATGCAGATTGTTAGCTTCTGAGTTCAGTTGGTCTTCACAGACTTGGTACTTAATGCAGGGTTTGAGTGTGCTTTCTGTAGCCTCATTGGTGGTCTATGCTGGAAAGTCACCTGTTTTTTGTTCAGCTCCATAAAGCCTTTCCAGGTGTGAGAGGATTCAGCTGTACCTGAGCTCTGAGTTTTCTGAGGAAAAGCTTTTCTTCTCAAGATCTCTGTGTCAAACATGAGCTGTTATGCTGGGGTGAAGGTAAAGGAAACAAATGAGAAATCAGTAAATCTGACTGCAACACTGATGCTGGCAATTACAGGCTGTTTTAGTGATTTGTCTTTATAAAGCAGTACTGTAATCCCTACAGTCTACAGGAGAGGTGGAGCTGAGTCTAAGAGTTTTGAATGCAAAAAGTTCTGAGATCTTTTATCTGAGTAAGAATAAAAATGTTCAAGAATAAATTTGCTCTTAGGCAAAAAACAAAAGGTAAAATAAGTAATTTAATATGCTATAAAGTAGACAAAAAAGATTGCTTAGTGAGGAAAGCTCAACCGTACTGGTTAATGTCCTTCTGAATCATGCAGAGCAGCTGGAGCTGTGCAATTTTTCTCTGTCAGATTAAGAGCGTACACAGTGATTTCTGAGTTGCATTTATAAGTTAGAATTTGCGGTTAAGCAAAAGAGCGCAAGCAGCACCCATTTTGCCGCTGATGGGAAATTGGATGATATAGTGGTCACTAATAAACCCTTCAACAAAACATTTAGCATCCATAAATCCCAATATTTATTATTATTACTATGAAATGTTGCTAAATCTGTTGAGGCATATTGGTTGTTTTTTGGGGAGGTGCGTTTTCATAAATGGTATGTTTCGTATTTAGTTTAGATTAATAAGGAATGTGGCATATTGACCTTATTTGAATGGTTTCTCTGCGTGTGTATGTGTGCAGATAATCTATTCATAGTATGTTTTCAAACAACTTTTTGTTCTAAGAAGGCTGTTTGCAGAACGCTGACAGATGAATGTGTCGTGGAGAGGTGTTTCTCACGGTGTTTTATGCTGTTGTGTTGTAGTGTGCAGCATAATAAAAACCCAAGCTGTAACTATAAAAATGTACCTCTTAGAGTCTGCAATGTAAGTCTGGTAGGTCTAAGAAAGTGTTCAAATAATTTGACAGCTTTTGGTGCATCCACTTTTTTCAGATTGCCACAAAGCCTTGTGTGTTTTAACATCTTGTCTCTAATACTGTGTGAGATGAGAGGGTGGTAGCTTCTTGGTAGATGGATAGCTCAGGTCCAGCGTTGGAGTAGAAAAGTTTGTAGAAGTTGGCATTGCCCTTACTCCCGTGTGGGTTACCTATAGCACCTTTTGTGTACAAGACTCCCCTTGGGTGCAAAATTTCTGATGCATTTGCAGTTGCAGTAATTGCCCTGGAGCCATGCACAGAAGTTGCAGGGCCCGTGCTTAGGATCATGTAGCGTCTTCAGATGTAAATTTATTCTGGTTAACGCTCTGGCACTCTGTTGGAAGGCAAACAATATTGATGTTTCTTCCTTCTCTTCCATGGTGTTCTTTTTCCTCCTTTGTATTTTTTTCCTATTTTCTCTGCAACGATTTTATATGCTTGCAATCAGCTGATGCCTACTATTTTCCTGTAACTGCCACCCTCAGTAATACATTGCAAACATAATAGTAGCGATAAGTATGTAACTAATGGCACTCAGGTGCTGTAGGGAGCTGGAGGTGTAAACTGCATGTAAACTTATTCCCTTGCAAAGGAAGAGCCTCATTGATCGTGGACTGATGCTTTCTGGTAGGGCTGTTCAAATACTTCAGTTAGCAATCTCGGTAATTTAAGCAATGAGGAATGATGGCACAAGGCATCATTCCCCACAGTCATTTAAGTGCTCACTCTCTCATGGGGTTAAGACAGGGGTTGGGATGATTGTTGCAGGCAATGTTGCTCTAAGTGACTTAAAAATCATCTACAGCTCTTGAAACTTTTTGGCTCATTAAAGTAAACCCAGCCACTGATAATTTTTCATGCTCTTATTCCTGTTGCCATACATGTGTGTTGTTAATGCTATTTATTAACAACATGTGGAAGTGTTTAAAAAAAAAAAAAAAAAGTTGAGATTCTATTTTAAAAAGTTGCCTAGAACCAGCTTGTTCGACTCATCTTAAAAAATAAAAATCCATTTCAAAAGCATGTGATGTAGTCTCTCTTTAGGCTTTAGAAGAGGTCCTTTGAAAGCCCACTAATTTGTTCAGGGGCCATTGCGTGTGATATACCAGGAGGCCGAGGGAGTTTGTCCTGAGGAAGAAGAGGATTAGGAAGGAGCTGCCTATAGTCCCCTACTCCAACTTGCTGTCTTGTGAAGAGGATAGAGGCATCTGAAAGGAGGAGATGGATAATGTGATGTTGTGGAATGGCAGAAGAATCTCAGGGAAGTTTCAGAACTTGACTTTCTTTAAAAAGTAACTTTTTAATGCTAAGCAACTGTTTTTGGGAATGATGCTGTGATGGAAATTGGATGGCAGTGAGAATGTATCAACTCCTTTGTTGTTATTATTAAAGCTTGCACCTTGGCTTGTGAAGATTTTTTATTTGGCTGGTTTGCTCTAATTCAGAAAAATGGACAGGTCTTCTGGTTCTGAAGACGTTTTTCGATATTTACAGTATTTTTATATACAAGAAAGTACACTGGATGTTAATTTTGTATATGTTTTGTATAGAAGAGAATTAATATGTATTTATCGTGTGAGCTTCTGCTACAGTAACACTAGGGTTTTTCATTTAACTTGCTTTAATTTATAAATGTAAACTTGGCAATGCAGTGCAAAAAAATTTTCTTTCCAACATTTTATCAGTTTTGTCTGTTGATACAGCTAGTGCAGCATGAAGTTATATTTAAAATACCAATTTGTCATTTTAAGAGGAGCTTTTAAATCATAAAGAACAGTTTACAAGGTTTTGGGGGTGTCTAATACCTTTAATTTTACCATTTTTTTCATAAACTTGATTTGTGGAATAAATATTTTGTTCTAGCAACAAGATCTCTTTTATCTCTGTAGGAATGAAGCAGTGTAAGTTAGTGAAATATATGGAATGAGGATCAAGTTGAATGACTTTTAAGTGCAAGTATCCTCTACCAGCAAGAGGCTGGTTTGTAGACAACTTAGAGCTTGCCTTAATACTCCATGGAAAAAAAAATCTATCTTTGTGATTTTAAGCATTTTGCAGGTTTTGGCTGTATCACTGGAAATAATGGATGTGATGAATTCTTGTTATGCTTCTTAAACACTTCTGAATTGAATTAAGTCACATTCTGAAGCTTGTTTCACATCAACAAAATTGAATGTATTCTTTCTGTATTGTATGGAGAACATATTATGCATTGTCAACAGGAAAGTCTTTAACTCCCAGTGCTGGTAATTAAATTAATGCAAAACTGCACTCCTATCACTGTCGAAAATGCATCTTTCTGCCTAGATGTAATTAAATAAACTACTTGCAGGGTTTTATTTATTTATTAAGGATGCAAATATTAAATTTCATCAAATAGAATTTAATACTCTTTTTGGTAGAAACAATATGTTACTTATGTGAATATTTGGTCTCTGTGGATGCCTGGATATGTAACTAGAAATTTTCCCCTTTTTTAACAGTAAAAAGTTCAAGTATTTTATAAATTAAATATTAAACAAATGACCAATACTGAAACAAAATAAGTTAAAATGTGGTGGACAAGGTGTACTATTGTATTCAAATTTGAAGATAAGCCTTTTCTATTGGAAATAAGGAAGTTAGCTTTTGCTTTGAATGACGTTTTATCTAATGGGTTATGTCAGTGAGATTGAGAGTAAGATGTCTTATTTCATTGAAGTGACCAGTCAGTGGAGTGTTAGCTTTTTTCTTTGCTGTTGGAAACTGGACTATTTCGGTGTTTTCTCTCTGCTGCTTTTGGTGAAAATATGTTTTAGAGTTATCATTCATTTCAAGTATTGAAATGCACACTTTTCTAAAAAAAAATATGTAGAACAAATATTTATGAAGGAAAACTGAAAAATCTGAAAGACCTCAAATAATGAGGTTTCTGAATGTGTTTTGGTGAGAATTGTGGTTCTTCTGAATGTGTTTTGGTGAGAATTGTGAATTGTGAATTTGTGAGAATTCAGTTGGAGATTGAAACCTGAAATACATTTCGCAAAGATTCTGTTTTACTGTAATACATAGCTCTCAGTAACATGAAGGCATTCTTTAATAGGTCTGTAGCATTTGAGTCTGAGATGAGTTAAATATTTCATGTGGGCATAAATGAAAAATATAAGTGTGAATTGGTAGGCAGGCATGCTTAAGTGTGGTGAGGATGGTTTTTTGTGTTCCTTTTCTCTTTCGTGTTCTCCTCTTCCTGTTTGCGTTTTCCCACTTTACTCTGTATTGTCATGGTTGTTTTCTCATGTACTTTTATATATATGCATGTGTGTGTATCACATACACATTTATAGATATACAGGCTGAGGTTGGATGAGGATGAATATTTCCAAATAAAGATATTTTTTGATACCTGTAATGAACCTCCAAATGCTTTCTATGAAGCAGAAGTGTGTCAAAATGGCCAGGTTTCCATGTGTGACCATGCAGCCGTCCATGGCTTCTGTGCTTAGATGTTTGTAGCTCTGAAGCACAGTGAGGGAAACAAGTGACTCACCTGCTTTATGTTGCTTTGTTTTACAGGAGAAAGCCCAGTGTTTACAGAAAGTTCTCACTTCCCAAGAAGATAAATCCACTCAGACAGAACTTGTAGGCCACGATGTAAGTAGCTGTGTTGGGCGGTTTTGTTTTGTTTTAATCACCTTTATGGGTTTCAGACTTATATCAACGTATTTGCTTCTATGGCTGTTGTTTCCCCGCATTGATTTAAAAGAATTTACTTGGAATACCCTTCATACTTTGCTCTTAAATGTTTCTCAAATTTCTTCTGCAACATGGAAAGATGATTACAGCTACCTGCCAGCATGATAATGCCCCGTCATTTCATGTTTTACCAAAAGCTCTCAGTATACTGAGAATTAGCAGAAATATATATGGAAGCTATGTTAAGTAGATGCTATTTTTTTCAGTATCAGAAGTAAACAACTCAATAACAGTATGGGGTGGTTGTTTCTAATCATTGCATATTGACCAAGTAATATTTGAATTCTGGAAAATAATGGAAGAACTTACAAATTTGTCAAGTTATTGTAAAATTTTCCTGAGCATCATCAGTCAGAATTTCTGCTAGAAGGTGGGTTGACAATTTGCATCTTCATGTAAGAATATACTTAAGGAAATTACTGTTTCTTAAGAGTGTTCCTACTATGAAAAATGGGTTTGCATATATGTAGTGATTCTCTTGAGTGCATGATGCTTCTTTGAAGAATCCTTGATTAAGAATGCCACATTGAATGTTACCGTGGTTCTGTTTTCTGTGACTTGAGCAGAATCAAACGATACTTGTTACCAAATACTCTTTTGCAAAATAAAAAGAAATGGTAAATAATTGATGCCAAAAGCTTCACATTCTTAATCAGACAAGTTCCTGAAATCAGTTAAACTTCATTTTCTAGTGCAATACCTCAACAAAAGTAAATGAGGAATTTTTTTTATTAACACATCCACTTGTATTGATTTGTCTGGTACTGAATGCCTGTGAATATTAAATTGCTGGGAGTAGGTTATGAAGAAAGATGAACAGGACTGCAGAAATGATGCATATTTACTGGGATCTTCAGTAAGGAACTCAAATCATGCTAGATGAAAAAATGTGCAAATGAAAGAGTGGGTTAACATTTTACATATGGTTCAATGTTATATACGTTTTATTAGATTTTGCTACTTCCAAGAATGAGTATTACAGGTAGTAATGGCTTCAGTTGTGTTTCTGCTGAAGACAAGTGACAGCTGTTTGCTTTCTTTGCTTTTATATGAGGCTTTAAAGTGCAAATTATGGTAATTTGTAAATGGTAGTTGTCTGTTAAGTGATGTTTATAAATTTTGTAGAATTTGTTTAGATGCATATTAGTATAAATAAAAGAATACTGTGCTAATGCAAAATTAGATGAAATAGTCAAATATAAAACAGGTCATATGTTTTATTGTTCTTTATTGCAACTTTAAAAGCTGTCTGTGAGCAGGTAAGTGCTTAGGAGTACTGCACGTGGTTTCACCCATGTTGTACAAAGAGAATACACTTAAGGGGGATTTACAGAAATCCTGAATGAGTGTTTCTGAAAAGTTTGTTCTATATTATTTCTGATTTTTGCTTCAATGTATAAATTTAATTCCATTAAAAATCCTCTAACTTATTCAAAAATTCTGTAAGAGATTTTTAACTAGTCTTGCTTTTTATTTCCATGACAAAATGATTTCAGGAAAACCAACCGAAAAAGTGACATCTTTCTGGTGTTTTGTGATGCTTAATGAAGCTATTTCATTTTCCTTCTGCTGTTTGCAATCTATTTCACTGGATTTGACCCTTTCTCCAATGCAGTTATCTTAAATTAATGTGAATGTTTCATTTTGCCAAATGTAATCTAGAATGTGAAGAATTAAATACAAGTGGCTAGGGGATGTATAATAGTTTGTGATGCAGTTTTGTCTTATATTCTAAGGCAGGAAGGAAGGGATGACAGCGTCCATGATAGTGATACAGGTTAGTCTCTAAAAGAAACCAATACTCCTTCCTTGACTTTTGGATTTTCCAGGAATTGAGATACTGCTCTTCAGCTTTGAAGTTGTGTCGTTAGGAGTAAGTGAAAGTTCCTGCTTTGATTTAAACAAGAATTGAAACATTTCATGCATAAAGTATAGAGCAATGAAAAAAAGGGTAGAGGTTAGGCTGCCTTTGGGAAGGAATGGAAGGAAAATGAAGCAATGTTTTGATATTTCAAAAGGAAGAAGCATGTACTTGTGTGGATTTACTCTGAAAAATTTTAGGCAATGCTGGCTCTGTGTGTTGTAGGAGTTGGAGTCTGTCAAACTGATGGGCAAGGTATGAGATCTTGGCATCTTCTGCAATACCTATAAACTGTTAATGAATGCTTTTTTTTTTTCCATATTTCTTTGTTTTCTTCTATCCATAACTCTTGAGATTTTTCCAAATGAAAATGTTTAAGAATACTATATAACCAAGCAAATGGAAGCCAGATTTGGTAGAAACTGTTTATCTGTGACGTGAAAATGCAAATCTCTACTGAGTGGAGTGTCTACTGAGAATCATTTAAAACATGAAGTCTTGCAGAAAGAAGCATGTACATAAGAGGCTGAGGGGACAGATTGCTATGTAATAAATGAGTGAGTCTTAAATAATCAATACCAACTTAACCTCCTTTGCCTTCCTTTGTCTGCAAAGACTTTTGAGATCAAGCAGTAATTCTTCTTTGTCCAGTCACTAGAACATGATGGAAGATGAATAGAGCAATAGATGTAGGCATTAAGCTTTGTGGATGATTACAAAATCATTTTAAGTGCTGTACTAGAGTACAGCCCCAATAATGTCCAAGAACTAAATATGGAGTCGTAAGTGCCATGCAGGCGTCACACACACCAACTCTGCAGCTTGAAAACACTATGAGGAAGTTTTCATTTAAATGTATCTTGAAAGTAGAGTCAAAGAATCATGGCAGTTTTCAACTTCTGCTAACAAAAGGCCTCAGACCAAAAGTTGCTTTATCAGTTGACTATTCAGTAGGTTTGAGTGGAAGGATTTTGCACTTAATTTTTTTTCTACCTGGATTGTGTTGGGCTGTGCTACTTGCTTTAGAAGGCAGAGGAAGAGGGTAACAAAGTACTTGAACTTTACCCTCGTTATGTCAATAGATGCTAGTTCACAGCATCATACAGTTTATTGCAACGGGAAAGAGATTGTCTGCTGGCATTGAAAATAGATTCTGTCTCTGCTCGGTTTGTTGTTTCTGCCTGGGAAGCTTAGATAAGTTACACGCACTACTGTATCTCACTGCCTTGCTTTTCTGCTTTTGCATCTTATTTTCTCTCTCACATCATTTATACAAATGTATAATGCAGATTTATGCCTGCTGCACCTCTCTAACATAATATTCTTTAAACAATAAGTACCTTTAGAAATCAAATCATCCGTCTCAAATCTTTTCCTTGCTTATGCTGCTGTATACCTGTTTGAATCTTGATATTGATTATTTTTTTCTTGGTGTGCTCATTGCTTATGACTTTCTCTAGCAATCACTTTTTCTTAATGTCTGATTCCTTTATTTTCAGTATTAGATACCACTTAAAATTTCCTAGGTTTATTTTGGGTTGTTCTACTTGTGCAAGTTCTTTCGAACCTTCCATGCATTCATAGTGAGAGATTATGCTGAAACCTTTTTCTTTCATGGTTGTGTCCTTCCAACTCTTGACAGACATGTAGCCTAACCGCCAAATCGTAGTCAGTAAGCTATTAACATTAGTGAAGTTGAGTGCTTGCTTGTGCCGGAAGTTTGACATCAGTAGTAAAATACAGGGAGATATTGAAGTTGTTATACAACCAAACTCACAAAGCAATTGGGTGCTAGGACAGGAAATCAGCCCTTGAAGTATGGAGGAAACCAGCCTTGTTGTCCATAGGAGTGAAGAGCAGTAAACACTACATTCTGTAGTGGTGCTTGATTAGTATCTGCTTTACTTTGTTGGAAGTAAATGAACTTTTGTTTGCTTGTGTAAATAAAGATGCAGTTTAAATATTTGTAGCAATGCATAGCTTGATGGTATCATAGCTCAGCTTCTTGGTAGATTAGAAATTAATATTACACTGCTGAAAAAATTTGTTTTCCTCTAATATGCAGTGTAATAAATGTGCAGTGTTTTTCTTAGCTTTTAAGTTTTGCCTGTCCTGACTTACTCTACATTTCTATGATATGTTTCTTCTCCCTTCATAGCTCTTGCAATCTTGCTTTTAAGGTGCAAGAAAATATAAGGTGAAGTGTTTGATGACAGTAAGTCTGATCAATATTTCTCTAAAACTTGTATTTCTTGTAGCTGGGGAGAAGAGGAGGAGAAGTGTGTTTAGATATTGCTACTTACTCATCCTATAAATCCCTTTCCCGTTTCATCATCGTTTTCTCCTTGGAGTTCTCCTTGAGTTACAAATAGCTTTTCGCTTAAACAGCTCTGTCAATTTACTTATTTTTATCTTACTTCCTTTAATTTCCTTTAGTCTAAGTGAGCATAACTTAACAAAATGTTATTGCAGTGTTGTATTTAGTTGTACAGTTTCTACCATACAGAGCTGAATCAATATGAGGCGCTCCGTAATGTTTCTAAGTACTGAACCAACAGTTATCTCTAAAATTAAAAGTATGCTTGGTCACTTGCCAGCTTGTGACACTTGTCAACTTAAACAGCCCAGCTTGTGACATTAGGGCTAGAAGGAAGTAGGACATGGGCATCTGGACTTCTCATTTTTTTTTTATTTTGTTGAAATTAAACACCCATTTTGTTCCCACATAATACATTCTGTTTATGTGTTATACCGAATACTAGCTGTGTCCTATGTAGCAAGCAAGAAAATGGTTTGGGAATGGTTTAGGAGCACTGAAGACTCTTATATTTTGTTCTTTTTTAAATAATAATTTGTTCAAAGGGTAAAAATTTTCAAGGAAATGTTAATGTTAAGTTTCTAATAGGCTATCCCAAATACATGAGTTAAGAGCTGAAGAAGATAAGTGAGTCTTGAATGGAAATTTGCAGTCATAGCAGTGTTTGGACATGTTTTCTTAAAAAATAGAAACACTTGAACTGAACTTGGAAAAAGATCA